GGGCGAGCGGGCGGGCGAGCGGGCGGGCGAGCGGGCGGGAGAGGTGGAGATCGCCCGGCGTCGCCGCGGTTGCGCCCACCAACATTAACGCCAACGTCTCACATGTTTTGTGGGACAAGCAAGCATCTGGCTTCCGTTCGGATAGTCTCACACGTCATGTGCAACTGTGAATTGCCAATGCAAAAGCGATCATCTGTGATTTAATACAATTTTGTCATAATTCAAAAATATTCGTATTCCTGAAAGTGCCTTCGAAAGCATGTTTTTACTTTTAATGCTTTGAGTTTTATTTTAATTAAAAATAGGTATAAAATATCACATTAATATATAGATTTATTTGTAGTTTCGTAGGTTGGATGTTTCAGAATGTAAGTAAAAAGCGTATACTGGTTAACTTTCATTACTTCCATGAATACAGAATTGGCTGGCAATTGTACCTTACTTAAATTACTACTATCATACTAATTAACTTCTTAAGAATTCATCGTCAACTCTAAAAAAAATTATTAGACCCAATGAATTATTTCTTGCCCGACCAACACCAGTTTCTAATCATCAATCGTTTGGCGTCTCTACCTATTCAATTTACCTTGTTAACTCTTATTTCTGTTTCTTGTATTATATCACAAATATCTCTACCATGTAGAGCCGTCATTACTACGTACTCTTAGGCCATGCCTATAAGTTAGGTCGGTCTCATAAAAACATTTTCTAAGTCTGTGCAGTTCAATCAATTATCCTTTTTCATTTGATTAGACTTTACTCATGCTGATTTCCCTAAATAGTCCTAGACCAGCGACTAAGGAATTTTGCGTTTCACAATTTCTTCTTTCCTTATAGAAAACCTTCTGGTCGTTTTTTATTTATGCACGCACGCCTACTTCATGAATTAAAACATTGTATCTGCATTTAAGCAGTCGCGAGGCGATGAAGCGACAGGTGGAGCTAGAAGCGGTGAGGTTGGTGGAGAGGGTCGAAGACGGGAGACAAGGGGGCGGAGAGGGCGCGGAAGGTGGGACTGGGCATGATGGGTAGCCGGAGGAGGGCTGGGCAAAGGGAGGTAGGAGTGCAAGTTGAGTTACACGAAGTGGACAGGGTCTGCAGGGTGGAACACCTAGGTGGGGCTGGCGGAGATGCACGGATGTAGAAAACGAGATGGAAATGTGTGTATAACGAGAAGAGAGAGAGCCAGATAGACTGGTCAGAGTCCCGAAGGAGCTGAGAGCGCCTGAGTGGAGCAGTGCGAGATGGAACGGCGCGGGACAGAGCTGACGAGGCAGATGGAATTGGACGAGGGGCACTGGCGGAGACGAGTAGTCGGAACCGGGAGGAGCGGGGAGAGGCGAGATGGCAAGACCCATTTCTCTCGCTCCCGCAGTGCGAGGCTGGGCGGAGCTGATTGCACTGGTTGGGAGCGGGCGGTACTAGATGGGCGGGGCCGTCCGCTCGACGAAATGGGTCTGTAGGAATCGGGCGACACGGGAGGAGCTTCGGGTGCGCGGGCAGGGAAGGGACGCGAGCATTGTGGCCGCGAACGGCCGCCGCATGTAGGCCGTGGGTGGCGCCCGCCAGATACTGTTTACGCGTGCGGCTTAAAATAGCCGCGCAGACGGAGGGGGAGGGGCGGCGGAGGCAGTGGAGCGGCGCGCGAATTCCGCGCGTCGTGTAAAACCTCGTCAGCGGCCGACGGCAGGTCGTAAACAACCCGCGCCGGCCGCGCGTCCCAATTCGCGGGCGGAGGCGGTAGTGGCCGGAATTGTTCACCCATGACAACGAAAACAAAATGGCGTGGAGAACGTAGGTGATGACAATAAGGCCTCTGTTGGTATTTTGTCACTTCGTCTTCATTGTCGCCTTAAAGAAGCATCAAACGTTGTGAAAAATATTCTGTACTTGGTGCCATTTAAAACTCGTTCCTACGAAACGGTCTATTAAATACTATAATTGGACGGCATGTTCTTTTATACTCATGGTCATGAAACAGTCCAAAATAATATTTCGAAATAATGTTCAAAATGTTTGTAATGGTGATAAGAACTAGTAATAAAGCTTATTTACCTCAGACATGCACAGTATTACACTAAATACTGTTTTTGTAAGCCACATTTCTTCTGAAATCTTAAACTTGAGATGTGTGCACACTCCCATGATCAAACTGTTCATCGAGAACAGTCGAGATCACGAGCAGGGGCGTTTGTGGACGAGATCCCAAAATATTACTTCAATTGTTTTTGTGTAAAAATCGTGGCAAATGGGATAGTGGCAGAGTGGAAGAACTACCGGCGTAGAGCGTGTTCTAGACTCCCTTGGAAGCTCAAAGTAGCATCGCATTTGCTGGTTTTGCTTTATCGTTTGCCAAGATGAGATATCGGAGCACAAGTGCGCTTAGGGACGTTTCGTTACAAATGTACTTCCAACTGAAGCTGAGGTTTAGAATTAGATCTCATTCAGTGCAATGCCACTGAAAGAAATGCAACAACACGCCGCTAACTACATACTTGAAAACTGTTCAAGAGTTAATATTACACAAGATATTCCCCCAAATGCCTAATTACAAAAAATTAATATTAATGCAAATAATTATCATAGAAAGTGCATATTTGACTTCTATTATTTCGATATCGTTATAACAATTCTCATTTTAGCACTGAATTGTTCATTTGGTCTTGCAAAAATAGGAAATTTTCCATACCATTCTTCCAAGGGATATAGTACTTTTAGTTGTATTACACAGTTGTAGCTTTCTCGATTCCATCGTTCCAAAGCTACGCTTTTATTCCTTTGTCATTTCCTTATTTTTTATTTCTCAATAATTCTTTCGAACTATTCAAGAAACAATTGTACTTAATTCCCATCCGCAATTGTAACTTTTGTAACAATGTTTTGTGGTGGGTCAACAAGATAACACCATTTTGAAGTGTTGATACACAGGACAATGGTGTTCATCGAATGGGGACAATCGAGTGGACTGGTGATTTGTGTCCGACAAATTTGTTCTCATTATCTATATAAATCTTTCATCTTTATCACAAAAAGCATAAAAATAAAAAGATTCTCGACTTAAACGCGCAACCTGTTTTTCTTTCCTTTTTGTCTCGCGAGCAGTTACGAAGAATGCTGAGCTGCTTGAGTAGTTCTGCAAAGAAATCACGAGGCGGCAGGTGGCGTTGGCGAGGCAGCCAGTTACATCAGGCCTTGGCCGCGGTCCAGAACAGCGTCGATGCCACTCGCCCCTCGCCGCTTCACCACGCCCATCGCCCACACACGCCCGCGTCCCCGCCCCCGCCCCCACTCCCTCCCAAACTGGCTGCAGATCTGCGCCCAGCATCTGCACCTGCTGAGTGCATTTCTCAGCGTTTGAGCCTCTTACCTTTTCAACACAGATCGCCCACTGACCGAAGCCCCGAGCGGTCCAAACTAGGAGAGGTGGCAACTGATGTGACTGCAGTGCCCCTGATAGGCGGTTTCTCCGATCAACGCCACGCGAATGCGGGAGCAGTACCTAAAAAACGGCTACAGACCCCGCACAATCTTTCCTTTCTCTTCTTTGCTCTGTCCTCACCCCCTTACACACACTTGAAGGCACTACGCTTAGAGCATATCCCTGTGGGGGCGATGCTCCGCTGATGGGAGAACGTAGTTGGGAAAAATCCCGTAAGTCGGCGTATAGATCGGCGCCGAATCTCACCATCCGGCAACCGAAGATCACGGCCACTTCCAGAGATAAAATATGCACAAACACTTGCCGAAGTAAAGACCTTAGCAGTGGACGTTTCCGGAATCACTAATCAGTCAATCAAGCTTTTCAATAGCTTTCCAAAAAGCTTTCCAAATTCCAATCATTAAAATTATTTACTATGGGGTGTCTCGATAAAATATTCAACTATTGCATAATTTGGAGATTGTTTTACCAGTCAGCCTGGTTTTCTATATACATCTTCCATCTTTATCACAAAAAGCATGAAAATAAAACTATTCTCCACATTGTGTTTTCGTTTAGCCCCGTTGACACGCATTCACTTACCTTCCTCATTTTTCCAGAAAAATTATACCTATTCTCCTCTAGCATATTTTCTTATTGTTGCTCATGTGGACTGGTGTCTGCTTTATCGATATACTAGTAGTATTGTGTTCCCCAATAAATTGAAAACAGTTCACATTCCATTCACGTGCCCTTAGCTTTCTTTTAATAATTATTTTAATATGTAATGGAATACCAATGGGCAGCTTTAAATCCATCTAGTTGTATTTCAGGACTGGGACTCGAGCATGAGCACCCGTAAATCGACGATGCATATCAAAACAGTTTGCCAACTCCCTCGCACCAACTGCAGAACGGCCTTGAGGCGCAGGCGTTCACAAAGCAAGGACACGCCTTCGGGGTTGGCGACCTGAAATCGAGATCTCGCGCACAATATGCCTCCCGTGGCTGTTGTTGGTTTCGGGCGTTTCTTCGATGTTGGCGTCCTTCCACCGTCACCCGCTCCACCGTTCCGCCGTTCCGTATGAATACAATGGCCGTGTCAAGCGAAACGAGAGGAAACGACAGTAGTTTGATGATGGCGACATAGGGCCTCTGGGTTTGCAAGTGGTGCCAAGGTTTGCAGCTGCTATATGTCATTCGGTAGAGGAAGTTGCGACAAAGGAAATTGCGTGAGTAGGAAGGGGGGCACAGTCCAATGTGGCGAATTACAAATAATGGTCAAATACCAATGTAATTAGTCACCAGACATTTTGTATTACGCGTTAATTGTATTTCGAAATCCTTCAAAATGCAATTGCGATCAAAGAATGACAATAACTAGTATATCACAAAATCTAAAAATAGTTAAATTGATTGTTTTAGTGATCCCGGGCACGTCAACTACCAGGGTCATTAGTCCCGAGTGTAGTGCATGTTTTTGCATGGCATTAGCGGTGATATTTCCCTCGCTGTGTGGCGAGATCCGGCGCCGACCTACCATCGGGTGGCAGGGTTTTCCCCAACCAAGTATCTCCCACCAGCGGGGCACCGCCTCAGCCGGGACAGGTTTTAAGTTCCCGACCGGTCTCTCGGCAAATGTGCTTGCGCAGTGCGTGTTGTGTAGTGTGTGTAAGGGGAGAAGAGATAGGAAAGATAGCGCCCGGTCCGTGGCCCGTTTCGAAGGATACTGCTTCGGCATTCGCCTGTTGTTGATCGGAGAAACCATTAAAAACCCTCACCCATCTGAAATGTAATATACACTACAGTTAGTGTACTAATTATCTAGGTAGTTAACGCGCTCGGGATTAATAAATACTCATTCATCCGACCAATATCAGCCCACACCGCCATTTCGGTGAAATGTTCGACTACTCGGGAGCGAAGATTTGATGCTTGGACAGCAGGGACCTCTTCACTCTTGTTGGACTAAAGTGAAACAGCATTAAAGGCCCTGTTTCAGACAGCTGGCGTGAGCCAGCCTACGGACTTACACTCTTAGATTATATATCGCCTCTCATTTTTCATATACGAGTTTTTTATTTCATATACATTTTTCGTATTTCGTACAACTCGTAGGCTGTTCCACTGTTTGAAATACGCGCGTGGTAGCGACAGATTTAGAACCGATTTAAGCAAGCTTCGCCCGAGAGTGGGTGGAGCACGGGTCTCAGGGCTCCCGCGTGCACTTCAGAGCAGACCATTAGCGCGCGCCGCGTGCGAGAGGTACGAGTAATTTGCGTAATAGAGGCACTTGACTCGCTTTGGCTGCGAGTTAACGGGTCAGGGAAAAGGCTTATCCTTGCTCTCCATTCTCTGCAACGTGCAAGTGCCTTTCCCGCCAGCGCGCAGCGTGCGTGCGGGGTAGCCGACCGTGAATGACGCATACGATCGACTTGTTCCAGCGCGGCGGTCTCCTTGCGAGAGATCAGATCGATACGCAGACAACGTCCGTGTAATCTCGGGCATTATCTGTTTATGAATTAATGTTTGTGTGTCATAGGAAATACGTTCAAGGAAATATGGTTGCGAAAAACGTGGAAATATATTATAACTAAGCAATTGGTTTGTAATTTTGCGCGGTACGTTGCTTAAATCCTTAATATTCCCAGAAAGCAGTTTGCTTAGCTTACACGTTTAGCAACTTTCGAAAAAGCATTTCGCTAATTTTCTAGGTCGCTAACTCAACTTTTCCTGTTGTGGGCGCTGAAAAAGTATACAATGCATAATGAGGTCAACCGTCGGATGCATTTATGTATCGCCTTCGGTACGACTCCGGTTCTGTCTTCTCATTTCAGTTGTTTTTTTGGTGGACAATTTCAGCATTTCTCCCCAATGTCCCTAACTGCCTTCTTCCCTTTATCTTCCAAAAACAAACTAGTCAATTTTTTCTTCGAAACATATATTTGTATCACAAGTGTGTTGGTTTCTTGTCCTATTATATCGTGTTTATCTTCGTTTATCACTTCTCAAAGATTTTTCCTCACTTCTCTATGGCTTCCAATCGACCAGAAGGAAGTTCCTACCTGTAAAAATGATTGTTGTATCTTTGTGTTCGTTTGCTGTATCGCAAATAAGTTATGGCCTTAATGAAACAATTGAGTTTTCCAAAGTAACAAAACACTGGGGCAACATGAATCAACATGGTTGTCGCATTTCTCACTACGAATGACCCCAAGAGCATTTTCAATATTGCACGGTTTCGAAATAAAAATACGTTTTTCAATGAATTGCTCCTACTTTTGAGGTATTACAATATTGTTACGCTATCTTAATTGCAACCATTGCTTAGTTTATGCAAATGTACAAGTTATACGAATGCCATGAAACAACGGCTTCTCCCAAAACTTTCCTGCCCGGGAGACGCCACGTCAGACGCGCGGATACTAACGTTTCGGACGTCTTGCAGCGACCTCCGCCAAGGAGAAGTGGGGTAAGGTGGACCGCGCACATATTTAGAAAGAAAGAGGTTCCCTTCCACCTACCAACTGGTTGGCCGGACGGTCGGCTAATGGAAGATAAAAATGACGCCCTAAGCGTTGGCATCTGGGCCTAGGACGCGGAGCCTCCCGAACAGCCAAGCAGATACCGACTCAGGACGCGAAATTTTATAAGTTAGATGCAGTTTAGTTGTAGTGAGTCTTTTTAGAGATAAAATCCTCGTTCACACTACTTATGCGCAATTGGCAATTGTTAAGAAATTGTAAGTTACTAATGTGAACACATCGATCCGGATAGCCCAGATCGCTAAGGTAGTAGTGTCGTGGCGATTTCGAGTTCAAAACCCTTCACGGACATGGATACATTCATTAAAGAAGTATTAATAATCCCTTGCGCGATCACGAGGCTCTGGGGATGTAAATGGTGCAGGTGGCTATTAAAAAAACGGGAATATACTCTCGCCTCTCCATGGTTACAGGAGAGGGGATAAAAACACCTGAAACCCTTGGCTTTCGCTTGTGTGCTAAGGGCGGTGTTTTCTGTTGCAGCGGCGGCGCGGGCGGCAGAGGGCGACGGCTACTACGGCAAGTTCATCGGCAAGCTGAAGCAGCTGCACCACGGCGTGTCTGGCGACGTCTATGCCGTGGACGCGCGCACGCTGCACATTCGCAACTTCAACTACGACGGCGAAGGACCCGGTGAGTACCTGACCGCCTGCCTGCTGCTCTTAAGGCGCCTCCACGCATGCGGCACTCGCCGGGCAGCGAAAACCCGAACAGCTGATGTCTTCGGCGAATGTTCGCCCCCTTTGATGTGTTCTAAAGACCGACACGCGGTGGGTAAGGTGAATACAGAAAGTTTGGTGCTCGGCGAATCGCAAACAATCCGTCCACACTACTCGGGATTCGGCGAGTGGTTGCACGGGTTCGCCGATATGCCGCATGTGTGAAGCCGACTTTATATACAACTCTCAGCTAACACTAGTCGATTTTTTTCCGGAACGGGAAATATAAGGCTTGAGGAGAAATGGGGAAAAGACGGTATGAAGCATTCGGGAATATATAAAATCAAATAATAAATAGATAAATATATTTAATGGCGGCAAGTATCAGACTGTATGGCCTGCTCTGCCATCTAGCCACATTCGAAAGTTAAATACAATTTTGCATAATAAAAAGACGGTCATCAAAAGAAAATATGTACGTATTAGAGAAGGATTTCTCGCAAGTATGACATGAGTGAAAACGAAGAAGGAGGAGGTTAATAGAAAAGGAATACTCTCACAGCCTTTGTGTGATTACGTTCATTACCTTCAAGTTAGAGATGGATTTAAAATGAACTTATCACACGAAGCAACGAAACGTACGTTGGCAAACTTTAAGGAAAAGGAAAACATAAAAATATCTCGTTATTTTGTCTATAGAAACTTGTTCATTGCTAACCCTAAGTTTTTCTCCACATGGGCGTTCACTACTACCAACCTACTTTGTTTCTCCTGCGTTCCCTGGTTAAGAGATACGCGTTCTGAATAAATGGGTAGTTGTCACAGGATTTAATTTTGTTGAGAATTGACAAATTGCTATTTTACATTTAAAAGGGTAGCTCAAGGCCAGTGCACAGGACGACAGTGGATCTGATGATGTAAAAGAGTTTGAGACACCTCTCTTTCCATGGAAGAGCTGGGATACCAATGAGAAAAAGTCCAACAGATCTCATAGAAAAAGAGGAATGAGAATTCCAAAGACGGTAGTAGCGGACGAGACACTTTAAGAGAAAGGAATAGGGACGGATGAGGCAGGGAAAGCAACTTTTCAAGACGTCAGATATAACAACAGTATTCCCATCCTTTGGTAGAGCTTAGTCGTAAGGTTAAAATACCGAATCACACACCAGAGGATTTAAGGTTAAGAAGTCCCAATCACAGGAAAACAAAACCATATCATTTGAACTAAGACCAATGTAAGTTGAAAGTACACGAATAAGAATAATGGATATTTAAATTACTATATGTAACGTACGGACGATGTTACAACCGAGGAAGGTGCCGGAGATAGGAGGGGAGATTGATTTTGTTTGTTTGTTGTTAAGTTTTATTTTGATCAAGAGAATATTAGAGACGTAAGGTGTAATGAAAGAGGAAGAATTGGTTAGAAGGACTTCAGTATATTACATTGTGAACAAAGAGGAGTATCTGGGTTGGACTGTTTGGAACTGGATCTGTAGTAAATAACAAAAGTATGAATAGATTTGAACTTACATCACATGGAATAAGTAAGCTAAGATGTAAAGGACGTTTTAGAGATATGGCATTTATATGAGTACATGCATCAACGGAAGAAACTGAAAATGAATGTAAAGAGAAGTTTTATGATGAAGTAATCATGACAGTTGATTTAGATGATTCCTAGCTACGGTATGACAGTAATTCTAGGAGACTTCAATGCAAACATTGGACGAATAAATGATGTACGAAGGAGCAGGGAAGTAATTATTACACGCCGAGAGGGGTGAAAATGACATACAAATAGGCCAGTTTCCAACAGCAATTAATTTGGTTATAAAAAGGGCCTGTAAGTCACCCCACAGGGGCTCGGAAGTAACCAAGTAAATCAAATACGAGTAGACCATGTCTTGGAGACAACAAGACACCCTGTTACCTCATGTACATACCTGAAGAGAGCCTATTTGCGATTCCAAACACACGCTAACCCAAGTAGTAACTTCACATACACTAATTTTCAGATGAAACAACCAAGGGAAAGGAAGTGGAAATAGAAAGTGTCACAAAACCCAAATAAAAATAAATCAGAGACCACAAACTGTAAATGAAAATTATATGGAAAGGAAGTGGAAGAACATTAAGACAGTAATACTCGTAGTGTAAAGTGCTAAAGAAATACCAGGGAAAAAATTACTGAATGAACGGTTTGATGAAGAATGTTCCAAAGCGATAGGTAAGAACTAAGCAAGGAACAAAAATCAGCAGAGAGAAGACAAAGTATAAAAAGATACAGAAAACTTAGAATAATATAGATTCTTCATATAAAATATGCCGAGCGAAAAAAGTGTGGGTAAAAAGAAAACTGAAAGGAACTGAGGTAATGGGTCAGTAAAATAAATTAAGGAAATTCGGCTTGATACGTTTTCTCTCTAAAATCACCAGAAGAAATGAAAAGAACTGCCTAGTGAGCCTCTGACGCCAACGCAGTCGTGAGTGCGCCCGCTAAAATAGAGAGCAGGAACAAATATCCATGGACAGTTAAGAGACTCTCAAGATTGTTTAAGTGGGTACGCAATCTAACCACATTGCTAAATGAGACCGGAACCACAATAAATATTAATTACTCTTATCTCTTCCAAATAACACGTTAACATGGAAAGGACTGCTTCTTGTGACCGCGCGGTTACTACGCGGAGGTGGGTGCGGCCACAGTAGAAGAGAGGGAGAACTTGCATTCATGCACATAATGGGATTCGAAACCAGGAGCCTTCGGCGCCAGGGATTGAGTCGATACAAGCTCTAGTAACCTCCGCCAACATGGACGGCACCCCAGTAAATATTCATTAGGTGTGGCTCATAAAATTCTCCAGATGACGTGGAAGTAACTGCCTCGTGTGGAACGTAGAGATGGGTGCGGTCGTAGCTAAAAAGAGGGAGCAAGTCATTCACAAGGCGGAATTCGAACCTGGGGGCCTTGAAGGAGAGAGACTGTACTGATTAGCGTTCTAAGCACGCACCACACATCTAGGCCGGTATTGCATTTCATTGCACAACTTTCTCATAAATCCTTAACATAACGTCGGAAGGACTGCGTTGTGTGAATAAATGCACGCTTCACAGAATGTGACCTAACGAAAGTGAGAAGAAACAAACAATCACAGACCGTTTTGGGAACCCGGGCCTCTTACTCTTGAGATTATTCCTTAAGTGGACACACGCTATAATCAAATTGATCATCGAGGTATGCAAATACAGTATTAAATATTAATTAAGTCTTCCTCATAAACTCACCAAAGATCATGAACAGAACTTTTTTTGGACATGCGTTTGCCAGAGGTGGCTGCAGCTATGACGAAATAGAGGAGTACAGTATCCATGGAGAGGTGGGTTTCGAACCCATTCCTAGTTTACGAATTGAGTAATCACATATATATGAGCCGGCGATGAAATTGGATTGGGATTGGTTGGATGGATTCATTACGATTTTTCCACATAACCTATAAAGTATGGTGTTATATGCTTCGTAATAGTGCTGGGTTCACAGAGGTAGGGGTGTGGCCGATAAGAAAGAAAGGAGCGTACATTCATTCTCAGATACAATTTGAACCGGGAAGTATTAGAGAAACCCATGAGGGGCAACAGATATGAGCAAGATGAAAATCATGTTTAGCTATGAGTAGCAATACACAGCAAGTGTCATGGCGCGTCCTGCCTATCAGTACGCTAACCAAGGATCAAGAGAGCACGTGGTCTTCCTCTCAATATATCCGATCATCCTTTGAGTGAACATGCTCCGTAATCACGTTGGGCAGTTAGGCTGATACCGCAGTGGAAATTCATAACGCTTGCTTCATAAAAATCCGCAGAGTACATAAAAGGCTGCGTTGTGTGAGCTCATATCCACGCAAAGGGATGGTTTCGAAACCAACTCGCGATTCTTCGAAGGTTCAGTCGATATGAGATCTAACCACCTCCGCTAACCCGGTTGACATCATCACAGTAAGTATTAATTACGTACGCCCCTCAAAAATCACCACATATCATGGAAAGAACTGCCTTCATTGTACGCGCATGTGTGCACAGGGCGGTATTTGCACGAGCACCGTCAACACAGAAATGGACTCGGCGAAGAGGGAGAAGGGTCTTCAAACGACATGTCGAGATTTGAACCCTCGAGTCTTCGGACTCGATCATTAAGCCAATTATTAAGCCAATCATTAAGCCAATACAAAATCCAGTCACCTCCGGCGACATAGTAAATATGTTTGTCTCATACAAATCACCAGATGCATCATGTGAACCCGCGCAGGCCACACACAGGTGGGCCTGCCAAAGAGAGGGAGAAGTTACATGAATGGTCGGGGGGGGGGATTTGAACCCGAGTCTTCGAACTCAGTGATTGAGTCTTTACAAGCTCCAGACACCTCCGACACCACATCGCATTGTGCTTGCCTCATAAAATTGACCATATACATTGTGCGAACGTGTACGGAGCGCAGAGGTGGGCGTGGCCCCTGCAAAAGAGCGCGAGAACTCTTATCAATGGACATGGGGCATTCGAACCCAAGAGCCTTCGGACTCGGAGATTGAGTCAGTACCGCCTCTAGTCCCCTCCGACACCACATCACAGTAAATATTCATTAGTGTCGCCTCATAAAAATCACCAGGTGCGCGTTGCGGCGGGTGCGGCCACTGCGAAAGGGAGTGAGGGCGCGCGAGGGCTGCGGTCGCCCACATCCCTCAAGGCGCAGGCCGAATAAATTTCAGCGGCGGAAGGGTCCGGCGCGCGCGCAGCCCGGCCACTTTTCCAACAGGTTGGGCCGCGCTCCAAAAAAGGAAGCTGCACGCCAACCGGCAAAGCGGCGGCGGCGGCGGCGGCGGCGGCGGCGACGCGCTCCGCTGCACAGTGGCCGAAAGTACGGCTTGCGCGCGCGCCTGCATTGCTTAAGCGCGCGCCGGGGGTGGCCGGTTGGTCAGCACGCGTGAGAACGGAACGCGTGGGCAAATCATAAAACTGTTCCTAAAGGTACAATTAAGGGCAGGCGTGTTTGATGATGATATATATTTACTTGTAGCTGGATGTGTCCAATGTTAGATTAACCTGATAAATGAGGTTTTAGCTTGTTATTCAATTAGTAAGAGTCGCGATAATAGAGATGAAGTGGTTGTGAAAAAATATATTGGTAAAAATATAAAACGATCATTGAGGAGGAAAGTTCTTTTGTAATTGTGTTAACATTAAATCAAGTTCAAAACATGAGATGGTAAATTTAATAGACGTGTCTCTTCATGTAAAAAGAATACTGTAAGAATATACTTCCATTCATTCATAAAAACAAAAATATTACTAATCTCTGATTAATACTCCTAGACATAATCAAGATAGCATTATGGTTCCAACGAACAGACATCAATGAGGATTATTTCCATCATCATTCCCCCTCAATTTCACTTCTACAAATTTATTACTCGCAAACTGAAACGGAAGGAAAGTTTATGAAAATGTGGTTGAATTTACAGTGAAAGTTAATAGTTGTAATGGTTTAATTATTGTATTTATTTGAAGGAATTGATAAACCACTCCTCTTTTCACTCGCTAAGTATTAGAAATGACCATCCGCGTAGAAAGTGTAAATTTTGTAGAAACTTGATGTTTGAATCTACTAGCCCTTGTTAGAATGTAAGCAAGTAATAACTTGCATGGTTAATTGAAATATTTCGATAATAAATATAATTTATAATTTAGTGAAAAATAGTCTACCAAGATTCAATATTTTTTCCCTTCCTTTAGTACGTTTTACGTTGAATGTATTCATTAGACACAAAATCATGCCTTGACGATAACATTCTGAACAGCCGAGGAATCCGAGAGCATTTTAATGGACGTAATTTGTCTCTCATTGCTCGTAAATAACTTATTACAGAATTCCACTAAAGAAAAAAGCACTGAAAATCTCTATCACAAAATTAGGTTGCTTCATTTTGCTCCGAGATGCATCTTGCAAAATCAATCAGCTGAAAGGCTGCAATTAGGCTTCCTAAGCCTTACATCCGGGTCACCTCAAAAGTCTCTCGAATCCCCAAATACGTCCACTGTCCTCTGCACCCGGCATCCTCTCGGGCGGAGGCCGTGTCCAGAAACCGGGCCTCGTTTGTGTTTTCGCAGGCCGGGCGGGCGGGCAGGGCGGCCCGCCAGGCCGGGGCGACGGCGCGCCGCGCCGCGCCGCGCCGCGCCGCCTGAAGGTCGTTGTCATTGAAAACAAATGAAGGTCGCTTTAATGGAAACTGGCCGCTTCAGAGCGACCGCCGCCGGCCGCCGGCTCCTTATTAATTGCTCCTTTTTGCAGCCGCGCGCCGGGGATTCTAATTATAATTCTGTTGCCGACCTCGTCCACGTGCACGTGCAGGGCTGAAACAGGGGCTATTTACGAGGCGAGTGAACGCTCCTCGGTTTGGGCTTTTGTGGTCGGTTCGGTGGCCAGTTTTTACTAAATGCCATCCTCGCAAGAATAAAACATCGTCCGTTCAAACCTGTTGATAATGATTCGGAGCGCAACAGACTGGATCTCTTGTTTCTTCATTTGCATATAATTACTTTCCGAAAAGTTTTGTAACCTGATGCTAACTGCTGTACTTTCGCTTTTTCAGCCGCCTACTTCTACGCCGGCGACTCCAAAAGCCCCAATGGCAACGGCTTCAGGATAAACGATGAGAAGGGATCGTAAGTATTATCTCAAAAGACACTCGCAACAAAAATTGTTTAATTAATATACTAACTTCATTTAATATTTTGCTAAGCCTTTGGCAAGCGTTTTTAATAATGTCATTCTCCTAAATTTTACAATACACTCGAAAATCATTAGGTTTATGTTTTGCAACAGATTTTAATTGGCATTCTGCCGAACATAAGAGCACCCTTAACAACACTGTATCAAATAAATATCCAGTATCTTTAGAATTAGGTTTTCAGTGTTAATATCATTCTCCATTTAGGATAAATCTGATACAATACTAATCATTAAATTAGAGAAAGACATTAAATTTCGTACTAAAAAAAAGAGATCAATTTTTCCAAACTCGCATTTACATTTAATTTCACAATGTGCCCCATTCTCAAATGCATTTTAACAATATCTGTATTTCACCACTTCAAAGCTGTTTATTAATGTAATGAAATTTCTGTGTAACAGATCTTAAGTCCACCATGTTATATCAAATTTTTGACAAAGCCCCAAGACTTATCAAATGGCATGCTTTACAAAATATTCTTACGAATAACAACACTTTCGCATAAGTGTCTAGTCTTTCAATTTATTTCCTTTGTAGATTAAAAGTAACATGCATCGTTTTCTCTTTCACAGGCCTAACGTGCTTCCCAGATATCGCAACAAACACATTACGCTTACTCTTCCCGAGAACAAGACCCTGAGGGACATTCGCTGGTTCTCTGTTTGGTGCGACGAATTTTCGGTAAGTGCGTCATCGAGATCTGCTGCAGCAAAAGCCTTGTCGTACGATCTGACACACGAAAGACACGATAAGATCTGGGAGCACGATCATTTACTGATTTTAAAGTCAATTGCGGGATCTGGCAGTTGTAGGTAAGATAAGAGAATTAGATTTAAGGTTAAGAGATCACAAATGGACGGACCAATAAAGAAAGCAGAGTAAAGGAAAATCGTGTATAATACGATCCGACAACCATTTTTGCCATTAATGTGTTTCACTGACGGGCAATATTTAACATTAAACATCACAACGATTACAAACGCAATCCGCTTCCTACAAATGAAAACCCACATTTGAGATAAGGAAACCGAGATCATCCAAATTTAAATTTAAAGACATTGTAGTTTTGAGATAAAAGATCCCCAGCAGAAGTGTTACACACTCATATATCCGTGACACGGAAACGAAAAGTGAACAAGCGAAGAACCCTGCACGTTGTCCAACGCAGCCAGTGTGCCTTGACCGCCTCCCAGTTCCCGTTGGCCTTCTGGCGTCCTTTGTTCCGGGCTCTCGCTACTTCCGCCGACGCGCCGCCCGGGGCGCCGCGGACGGGGTGAGGAGGGACGGGCGTGTAGGGCGGACGCTGCTGCAGACGAGCTTTCCAGTCACTTTCTCCGGAGCTTGCGGATGCGGGGGCGGCGGGGGCGGCGGCGGCGGCGGCTGAGCGGAGAAAGTAACCGTTGGCGGCGGGAGGGTGGGCGCGGCCTTCGCCCTTTCGCCCGCGCGGAGTTGCTTGCGCAAGCGGAAGCGCGGGCGGCTGCCACGAGGGGCCACGCGCAACCTCTTCGCAGGGCTACTGCTGCGCGTCTAACTACCCGTAATTGGGAGAACGGGATTTCGCTGGATTGGATAACTCTTAAGAAGTAACGTAATGTTCTAAGAAATAGTTATTGGGCAGTATTTGCACCTCCAAGCTTTAAAGCAATCGACAGAAGAATCCATCTTCTGTGCATGTGCAGTTCAAGTTTCTATCTCTTTTGAACATCATACGCAGAAGATCGATATCGCAGTCGACTTCTGTAAGCTATGTCGTGCAAAAGCGCCCTCTTTATGTACCAAGGGCGTTATAAGCGTTCTAATGATCGAACAGTGACAAAAACCGCGAGGGACTTTGGTCTGAGGACCTTTGGTTTGAGGGCGTTTTAGAACCAGTTTAGACAAAAGGGCCCATTAACAAATACTTGATCAAAGAAACAGTCATTCAAACACGAATAAAATTTTCGAAATGTTTCATTATGAGCAATCTTAGAATGACTCAACTGGAATTAACGACGTTGTACTCCGGAAGTTAAAAATAACATATGATGTCGCCTTTAGAACAATAATATACATGTGGAGTTAAATTGTATGAATATTGTCACAAAAACGTCACAAAAGCAATGCAAAATACAAAGAAATAAATGTGCCTTCTTATCATAAACGTGAAGTGAATTAATACTGTAACTTCCGAAACGGGTTTCCTTTTGACATTGATATCTTAATCAGATCATGAAACGGTGCGTGACAGGAAAGACGCTGTACCTCGTTTATTAATGCACAGATATATTAGGCTTACTCACGAAATGTTGCACCACTCTGATTCATTAAAACCGGTTAACTCTTACTCTACAAAGTAACAATTGTTATTATCTTCAATAAATGGAATACTTTTCAGTACAAAACAGCTCGGACTGTCCTGCATACCACTTCAAATTATGGGAAGTGACAAAAAAGTATACAGAGAAAGAACAATAAAAATTCGAACAAAGATAAACTAATTTACTCTGACAATTTCTTTCATGTAAAGAACGAAATCTATAATATCAAAATATTCAACAAGTAATTGTATTTTATTAGTTAATATTTATGACGGGCGTTATCACATTAAAGTCAAAGCAGTGTTTGACCGCTCTGTTCAATAGGAAAGAAAACTCCACATTTTACTAAACCTAAAGCTGAATAAAAAGAGAATGAGAAAGAGGAATAGACTATTGTATAGGAATAAACGCTCTGACTTGTCCGAGGAAACAATGCTCTCAAGAAGGGAAACAAACACTTACAACGCAATAAATTGCCAGAGCTTCGCGAATCCCAAACTCACTTAGCAGAGAAATTGGCACACACAAGTTCAACATGAGACATCTCTGTTGTTCTTTTCTCTGCAACGGGAAGTAGGTTTCCTGAAAAGTTACATCCCAGGTGTTGGCAAAGTTACCGAGGATTGTATGTTCTTTACTTTGGCCAATGATTCTAGAAAATATTTTCATCGTAAAATACGCCAGTTTGTTCCATATTAAACGTAATGTACAAATCAAAATTATATGAAATCTAATGTTTTCATTATAATCAATTGACAATTTTGTTTGCTTTTTACAAAACAAGAGGACAATAAAATCAAGAGGTTGTATACTCCGGAAACACAATTTCGTTCCCGCAAAACATAGTCGAAGCATCTTTTCCTATCACACTTTTAATGAATTTCAGAAAATAACATTTAGTTACCTTTCTCGTAGTCATTTTCGCAAATAATTTTTGCCATGAAACACAGAATTTTAAGAAATAAATAGTACTTCTCACTAAAAAATTAATTCATCCTAATATATTTTCTCTTCAGAAAACGGAAACGCAAACAACCGAGAGAGTAATTTAGTACACTATTTCGGATTAGAATAGATTGATTTCCCATGGTGTCATGGTTGTAGGCTTTTCATGTGGGCACGGACTACTACATGTTTCTAATGGATAAATTCAGTGACATAGGTGTTTTGGTGCGTTATCGTTGGCATTTTTCATGAAATAATTATAAACGTTGCCATTGCCAACAGTAGTATTTATTACTAGAGCAGCTTTCGATGGCTTAGCCATCATCATCAGTTGTCTGCTGAATTCAGCAGTTATTTCAAATTCAGTTATGTCTAGGTCTTGTACAATTGGCCCGCTTCGTGGCACCGTGGCATCGCACGCGCTTTTCAAAGCAACAAACGTCCGGAAAGGAAACTACCAGTAGCAACCCCGTCGCTTTCCGATTCTGATGGGGTTAAAGTAAAAAACAGAAAGAAAAGTAAAAATAGAAATAAAAAAGAGCAACACATATTCTTAAATGTATTTATGTCAATCCCGCCTAATCAGATTTCACGTGGAAAGCGTTCAGAGCCACAACAGCGTGGCGGGATGATTTCGTCGAGCTCCGCTAGTCGCGCACCCCCGCTGGTAGCCTCGGCCTCGCCGCCAGTGGATTAATTCAAAGTGTCCGAGCTGCCAGGGTCGGGGGGAGGACGTTCGAATGCGCGGGTGGTGTTGCAGGTGAACTTCGGCGACGTGCGCATCTCCAAGACCTTCGAGTACCCGCGCCCGCAGAAGATCGACGCCCTGAGCGGCGTGCACGGCGTCTCCTCCGAGAACATCGTCGTGGTGGACGCGCAGACGCTGCTCATCCCGTCCTTCAGCTACGACGGCGAGGCGCCCGGTGCGTGCGCTTCAGCGCTCCTCCTCTCTCGCCTTTCTTTTCCCCTCACTTCCTTCTGCCACCGCCTTCCTCCTTTTGCTCTTCTTTCTTCTTCTTCTTCTTCTTCTTCTTCATCTTTCTCATCTTTCTTTCATTTACTTTCTTCCCCCTTATTTCTCTCTCTCTCTCTTGTTTCTTCATTGTTTCTCTTCCATCTCTTCTTTCCTCTTTTTCTTCCTTTTCCCCTCAATTCCTTCTCATTCTCCTCCTTCTCTCATTCTCCTCCTTCTCTCACTCTCCTCCTCCTCTCACTCTCCTCAATTCTCCTCTCATTCTCTTCTTTCTTTCCCTCTCACTTCCTTCTACCACCATCTTCCTCTTTCTTTCATTTACTTCCTTCCCCCTTATTTTTCTCTCACACTCTTCTTTCTTCAGTGTTCCTCTTCCATCTCTTTTATCCTCTTTTTCTTCCTTTTACTCTCAATTCAGTCTTTCACCTTCTTCTACTTTCTCGTATTTCTTTGATTTCCTCTTTATTCGTCTTTAATTCTCTTTCTTTTTTCTTCCTTTTCCGATCAAAATTTGAACAAAATATTAAAAATATTTTACAAATTGAAATTTTTCTTAAAAGATAAAAAGAACCTATTTTATACTTAAAATTTACCACAAAAAACGACAAAACCTTATCAATGAACTAAAAAAAGAGAGAATCATTTAGACAAAATAATACAACTTTGAAAGAAATTAAAACAAAGCTACTCTTATGAGACATTGCTTTTTTTCCCCTTATGTAATGCATGTCTGTTCGTCCTTCAAACTCGAAATGTCCAGAGAATGCGTTCTTCCACAACAATCCAAGGGTTTGATATTGTACACCTCCAAGAAGTGCAGTCAATATCCATCCGAGGGATCTACATATCTTATTGTAAACCCTGAGTAAGAGTGGATACACGGTCATTGATTAAACGTAATTTTTAACATTCAAGTAAGTAAGGTGCAAAGTATGACTCCATAAGAATTCTGGGTTTCTTATACAGACCATACCTCTTAATAGTCGATTGCAACTCACTTTTGGATGGATTGGTGAATCACGTGGAGGGGTTTCAATGTGCGTGCGTGTGTGCGCAGACGCCAAGTTCTGGGTGGGGCGCGGCGCCAAGCCCAGCCCGCAGGGCGCGCGCGTGCCCGACGAGAACGGCAAGGAGGCGCCGCTGCGGCGCTACGACCGCAAGACCATCGTGCTCACGCTGCCCGGCGACCTCACCGTCTACGACATCGGCCACTTCGGCGTGTGGTGCGAGGCCTTCACCGTCGACTTCGGCCACGTGCGCGTGCCGCGCGCCCTCAACGTGCCGCCCTCGCTCAAGATGCTCGGCGTCTCCCCACAGGTACGCCTGCCCCCCTCCCCCACCCGGTCACCCCTCCCGCGGACGGCCTCTTCGCCGCGCAGCACTGCACTCCCGTCGATTGCAAACCGAAAGCTGCGTTACAAATACATTTTCCAAATTGGATAGTAGCGTCACAGTTGATTAAATTCATACGTGATTAAAAACTAACCCACCAACAATGAAGAAATGAGGGATTTGTTTTTGTAGCTTTTCGGAATCAATGACCCAATAATCTTTTTCCCTCTACGTCACATACAGTTTTTGCTGTTTTTTGACAGAATAAATCTAAATCTAAATAAAAATGTCTCCAAAAATTTAGATCATATTTATTCTGTTTAAACTAGATTAAATACAGTTCGATCTACTTCAGTATATTTTTAATTCAATGTGACATTAATATTACCACGCATAATTCATAAAATGATTTGTTAGTAAAGTCCATACGTCTCCCCGTCAATTTTAGCGTTAAAACGTGAAGGGGCGGGGCCATTAATAAATGTGCAATATGTCCTCACTGAGATTAAAATTGTATTTAAACACCTGTGTAATCCATCACTTCTGGATAAGGAACCGCAAGGTTATTTTTAAATCATTTGACGTTACTTGACCTGAAATAATCACTAAAATAATTCTAAAACAGTTTTTGGGTACAACTTCAATGAAGTAGCAAAAATATTGCAATGTATATTTTGTATTACATTTCCAAGCTATTTAAATAAGTTCTACCAAAAAATACTAAAAAAATCTGAATCTTCTTCTAAGAAATTAGTATAAATGATTCCAAATGCGGTTTCCTATTCAGAATCGCGCTCTACGATGCATTCCAAAAGCAATGGCACAAACCCATTATGAAAATCCTTCAAATAATCACTAATAATGTATGTTGAAATTTTACAAGTACTTAATTGTTCTCTAAAAATCTTATTTAAAATAGATATTTGTAGAACTCTGAACGTTTCTGCTCTCTAAGTGTAATGTCATTTCTTTTGGAAAAATCGTGGTCATGCGGTAATTTGTAGCTCCTTGCTGCATCGGAAATGGTGGTGGTGTTCCTTACTTACTCCAGGACAATCTTGAACCCTTTTCACGACCGACTAGAAAGGTAGAGGTGACACGGGCTATAACCACATTACGTCACATTAGAGGCATTACATGACCGAAAATAAATGTGCTTGACATTAACGACATAACGGATTAAAATTCGATGTTAAAATGTTAATTACATGAAATTATTTAAATAATAACAGCTTAAAACAATGTAATATAAATGTGGCCAAATTTAACTAGATTAACCATTGGCTAATAAATAAATTTATTCATGTAATCGATAATCGTAGAAACTAAAAATTGTTTTTTTCTAAAGAAAGAGATTTTTAACAGTATATAAAATATTTATAACAATAGAATTTACATATTTAAAATAGTTGTTAAAATCACTAAACAGGAAAATTTTATGTATTAAGGTAAGAAATATACTTTTAATTATGTGTTGGTGATGGAAAATTCTTAAATTGTGACACTAAAGGTGAAAGGAAGGAATGCTGGTAGCAGAACATTCATGTGTGCATGAACAAAGCACGTTGGGTTATGGGGTGTCATGCACATATTCACATTTGCACTAATTTTCTGAGCTGAGAAGTGTGGTATCAGCGACACTATTCAAAACGATTTCTGATCCTGTGAGTCAGTAATCATGAATCCCGACGACGAATTATCAGTAAAGAATATTTATTTTAATTGTCATCTTTATTCTGAAAGTGAATCGATTAACATCATACTTTCTTTAGTGAACTCCTTAGACTTCTAGAAAATAAAATACCATTATGTCCCTGAATATCTGCAATCAAGAAGAAACAATATCAAAAATAACATATATAAAACAAGTCTTGTGAAACAAGCATTTCGTCGATACAGAGGGAAGCAATAACTTTCAACCAGGAAACTAGCAGTTATAAAAAAAACCCTCAAGCTTCCGATAAAATTACATCGAGGAGAAGTGCTCCCAAGAAAAGTCGAGTCACCTGACAAGTAGAAAGCATGCTACACCTGTTCGAGAAGAGAATCGAGAAACCGTCTCAAGACTTACAAGCATCGCCCCGCCACACACTCGTTCTGATGCTCAATGCTGGACTCCGAGAAATCTCAAACAGAATTGAGGCAAGACGGCAACAATATCAGCATTGCGCTTCCGCTATACTCTTCATTTTCTGGCTTTGAAGACCAATGCAAATATGCCTGAAAGCAGACTAGCCCACAGAACGGCTATGTTGTCTGTTGTGTGAACCTAACCTCTTGCGCATAACCTCGTCAACAAAACCACTTTATTTCAAAGTAACCTCTCTCATCTGAACCTTTCAAATCACCTTTCTGCTGCGCATTGCTTGAAACATCTCTCTTCCGATCTATTATCATGAGTGTGCCGACCACACGAAATGAATCTCTTTCACATCTTTTCACTATGTCAATGTTTGCCTATTAACCCGGCCGCAGAATGCTAGCAAAGCTATCCTCCGCTGCTACTGTGTTTTCTCTTTGGATAGAATTAGAGACCTACTCTACTCCGAGGTACCAGTTTCTCGACCATGTATCTCAGGACAGGGGTGCCAAATTTGCCTGTCGTACTAATTTCAAAGAATGTTGAATAAATTTATTCTTTATTTGTTTTCCAACGTCTTTAAGGAAGACCTTAATTTGCATGGTAGTATTACCAAACTAGAATACCTTGAAACGAAGAACAGAATTATTTAATACGCAATACTGTCGACACAATATTATATTTTATAGACAGAACAATTTGTTTATTAATTGGCCAAATTGCTTATGAATATATAAATTATCGTGAAATTATCATTAGTATTAAATTTCTGTTTGAATTGAATGTCTAATTATCTCCAAGACATAAGCCATAATATCATGAATCTGAAGTATTTCCCCATTCACTCTGATTTGAAATAAGGTTTCAATAATTTGTTCAACTTGTCAGCCCAGATCAACTTGTTCACACAGCATTTGAAACACACTCGTTGAAAGAACACTTCTTCACGGAGCATGACGTGGGACCCGAAAAATCTTGGCACCCCTGCCCGTTCGAGGTCGGAGGTTTCCGTTTCGGCCACTTTCGAAACCTCTTTCGACGCGGGCGCGTAGCACGCGCAGCGTAGCCCGGACAGCCGACAGGCAGGTCCAGGTTCCGACAACAATGCGACCGCTATCCATTATGATCTAGGCGACAAGGACAAACCGACACAACTATCACGAACCGAATTAATTACTGCACTTTTACTCCTCTCCACCGTCCTTCACGTGAGACAGGCGCCGTTCTCCTCATTGCTCTACTTTCACCATAGCCAACGACTACCGGCCGCTGGGAAAGAGGAAAGCAAATATCTTATTCAGAGATCACAAACTCAGATTTACTCTCTGGTCATTTTTTGCTGGTTAAAAATCACATTCGTGTTAAGAGAGTAATTAATTCAGTTCATCTATAATACCACATTCTGAATACTCACTTCCTCTTTACTCCCAATTTCATAGTTTTAAAGTCCAATTTCTTCTTCTAAGTAATATTGTCATGTCAAAATTAAATAAATCTCTTAGAAGCGTTTTTCTGCAAAGTTCGCGTTTAAATTCTACGATTGGTTTAAGAATGGTCAGAAGGCTTTATCCTCAAAATTTTACTCTCATAAAATTAAAAATATTTCTGTCGAAATCTAAAATTTTATAAAGATTATCATTTCTAAAATGTACCCAAAGCATTTCGTCTGCTCTTATAGTTCACGAACATAACTCATGGTTAAAAGTTATCAGAAGTCACTCCAAACAACTCCATTCCACTTGCTTTTTATAACTCTCTAGAAAATAACTTCTCAATCCAAGTGAAAAAGACTTCATGTAGTTGCCGTCGTAATACAAGGAAACTTTCGGACGGGAGATAAAACATTCCACTTTCCATATCAAGACGAAGCTGACGTCGGACATATCTCTACCGACTTATTCCCCTCAGTCATCGACAGAGTTCATTGAGCAACACTTTTATCTTGTTGTGTCTTTTTTTCTGTTTGTTACAGAAAACACCTCGCTCTCTTCAACAATTCCAACAACCATACCAACAACAGCTCGCACAGCAACAATACCAACAAAACACGTTCAACGACGCTCGTTTCCAACAGTCGAATTTCGACAACCGCGGCCGGGGCTTCAATCGTTTCGACGCGGAACCCACAAACACGTTCTACCGCGACGAAAGCGCTCGCAGCCCCAACCGGCAAGCGCAGCAGAACCTCCGCGCCACCACCTACCGCCCCCCCACCCCGTTCCGCGCGCAGGCCCGCTCCGCGAACGGCGACGCCGGCGGGAACGTCCAGCTCATCCCGTCCATTTCCGTGCCCTTGGACCCGTACTACGAGCCGCAGGCGTCGCAGCCGCAACAGCAGCGACTAGGCTACGATTCGTTCGCGCGCAGGCCCCAACAGCATCACCAGCAGCAGCAGCGACAGCAGCAGCCGCAGCAGCGCTACGATAGTTTCGTTGACGAGGCCGTCGACCCGTCCGCCCACCAGTTCACGCGCACGAACCCGCGGCGAGTGCCCCTGGCGCCGCGCGCCTACGAGCCCTACCGTTACTAAGCGTCGGCCGAAGGGCCCCGGGAGAGGGCAGTGCCCGCAGTACATCGTCCCATTCACACAGAGTGACTTTTCACGTAAGATCAGCTAGGACACCGTTATCCAATCGGGAACCTCAATGCCAAAAATTACGTCGTAACGAAGCTCTCAATCGGAAAACCGTGCCCAACTGCTCATTCGTCAAAAGTCACTCTTTTTAAATGGAAGGAAAGCGAAATGCCATGTACAACTCGTTGATAAACCGATAAATATCTTGAAGGGTTCTGACTAACCTATTGTTCTGAAATGTGCGAAAATCAACGGGTTCAAACCAATCAAGTTGACTCAAATTTGCGGACCTCTTTGTCATGAAAATAAACTACGCATACTGTACTGATA